TCACTTGACTCATCGACTACGGACGTACTATGCCACTACGCCGTAGTCCCCAGACGATACAGGGGAATCCAATCCATTTAACCTATCTGTCCTCAGTTATCGTGTACCTATAGTCCCTCATCCATCTAATATCCCAGAGACTGTATATCGAGCATGGTGCTGTCAGACCCATACGGTTTCTACTCGAGTCTCGCTCTAATAGAATTCTCCCGGAGAACTCTTTCTCTCTCAACCCGAATGACCCTGGCCAGGGATTTGTCTAAGCAAGAACACATGGGATATTCCTCTCATGATGCCGAGAGTGGATGATCCTCTATCGACACTCAATAGCCCTCATAAGGTCGACTACCACTCCCAATTACCAGTTGTACTAGATCTGGGACAGCCAAACCTATAAGTCTGGTATCAAAGAGTGGAGCACTCATACAGGACATCCTTGGTGACTCAAGTCTAAGGACTAGATACACCACTAGGACTATGGAATCATTGTCTAACAATAAGGCATCATCAACCATCCAGCATTCCGTAAGCGGATCAATCAGTGAACTCATTCTCCAATGAGCACCTGTACTGTATCCCTAGTGTCCCTACACGAGTAGCTATGAGACCAACTGCATCCATCATATGGACAGGTATACAGCACACCAGTCTGTCCGGTTATCACGATGTCCCTCTCGAGTAACCTATGACCGGGATTATTTAGGATCTGTGTTTAAAAGTGAATCAATCTCATTATCATGATCTCATCACGATCTGATTCCCATTGCACAAATCCAAGGACATCACAATATATATATGCATATATGCAATAGTTATAAAGTGATATATGCCAAAATATAATAAGCAAAAAGATTCTGTATCAAGTCACACGTGTCATCACTCATGTGATTGGCTTGTTGGGCACCTATGACTAGCACTTCAGGCTGTCGACATTGGAGACATACGACGGTGGCTCTGATCCCACGGAGCACGTCTTTGCATACCGGGCTCAGATGGCCCTCTATGGCACCTCCGATGCATCGATGTGCCGGGCATTTCCGACCACTCTAAGGGGACTGGCATGAGCATGGTTCAGCCAGCTATGCCAATCCTCGGTCTCATCCTTCGACCAACTCACCGGGGAGTTTGAGCAGAACTTCCTTGCCAGCGCGTGACCTAGGCCTTCCATGGCCACCCTGCTCGCGCTATCCCAGCACGAAGAAGAGTCGCTCTCACAATTCATGGCACGTTTCGCCACTGAAATCCAGGGATTTCTCGACGCTCACTACTCTCTAATCATACAAGCATTTCTGATGGGCCTGAAGCCTTCAAGGTTTTTCTGGTCACTGATCGAGAAGCCGACAGTAACTATCCCCGAGGTGCTCCAGCGCGCTAACCAGTACATCACCATCGAAGCTCTGGTGGCAGGAAAGCACATGGACAGCAAGAAGCCAAGGGCGAAACAATCCTGGAGAACGACTTCAACAACCGTGGTGCAACCCCGCTAGAGGCTCGACTGACAAGAGCTACTGCTCCCGAGGCCCCCGCCTCTACCTCCGAGCACGTTCCACCGGGACTACGGCCACTCCACAAAAGATTGTCGTGACCTCCAGAATCAAAGCGAGGACTTCATCCGAAAAGGTCACCTCGGGCGCTATCTCGAGGAACCTCGAGAAGCAACTCCACGTCCCAAGGGACCCATCGAAAGACACCTCGTCATCCAAAATCTCCCGCCGAATAGTCACTCGCGACAAGAGGCCCGAGCCTCTCCAGATTGGTTCCCCACCTGTGGCTCGCCGACCCAGCTCTTGCCCGAGCCTCTCCAGATCGGTTCCCCACCTATGGTTCATCGGCTCAGCTTTTGCCCGAGCCTCTCCAGATCGGTTCTCGACCTACGGCTCACCGGCCCAGCTCTTGCCCGAGTCGCTCCAAATCTCTCTTGACAGGTGACCCGCCGGCACCAAGGCCTCAGCCTGAGCATAGTCACTCGATTCGCTCACCGACTTTGCTTGGGTCGCTCCAGATCTCTCTCGACAATCGCTCTCGATAGGCGACCTGCCGGCA